CAGCCAGTGCTGTAAAAGTGGGGGCATTGTTTATCTTCACCCCCTTCTGTAATGTTCCAACACCATGATGGAACTTTTTCAGGGCTGTGCACTTCACAATTCTAGAGAAGCTGGCTTCTGAACAGCAAAATAAAAGCAAAAATGAAATCCAGCAGTGATTCTCCCTTCATGTAAGATCCAGGCATTATTTTCTGTCCCCCTTCCTATGCGTTACTAAGCTTCCCCTTTCAAATCCAGTTCAGGTCAGAAATTGCTATGAGTGTGAAATTGAACCAATCTCAGGAAATCTCACAGGATTTGGACCAGTGCACTTTGACTATGTGAAATGCTTGCCACTTCAAGGTTCTGCTGTATTATGTTGGAACTGAAAAATCTTCCTTCAAATGTCTAGGTGATAGTTTCCTTGTTACAGACTGGCGAATTTAAGATAGTGTTGGAGAAGTAACTGGTTAAAAATCTGCTAAAAGCATACAAACAGTATTGTGCGATTGAGATTCCTGTCCTATTTGACCATGTGTAATGGATTCAAATTCAAGTACAAATTTTGTATCAGCTAATAATGCAAAATATAAAATCTTACATTTTTAAAGAAACATGCTATTTTAAAAAAAACTCCTGCATCTAAGTAGATTGTTCATATGTTGTATACAATAGTATAAAGTGTGTGTCTGACAGTAAAAATCACGGTTGAAATTGGAAGAACCTGTTCAGCTGCAATAAAAATGCTCAAGCAAGTTTGTGAATCAGGAGATGTAATTACAGCTTAACTTAGTCCTAGCATTTTCTTCTATATTACAGTTAATTTTACAATTTAGAAGTAATAATTCTTACCTTCATGTAGTGGTTACGCAGATCTGGCAGCAACAATGGTGAGGTGGCAAGTCCGAGAACAAGAGTATGGTTGCCAATTATGTTTCTGGATCTGGAGGCATGCATCATATGACTGGAGCTGTTTTATTCCAAGATACATTATAAATGTTTCACTGTGTTTCACATCAGTGACTTTCAGGGCACAGTGATTTTATTTCCTAGTAACGACTTGTATTATTTTACATTAGAACTTGTCTGGTGGTTAATATCGCCAATGGAACAAACAAAAACAGAGTAAAACTGTCACTCCTCAACTCTGCATTTTTTAACAACCATGTGAGAATGGGTGAACTGGCATCCCTCTGTTTTAACGTCCTTAGTTGGTCACAAAGGTTTAAATTCTTTTTGTCCAAGGTTATACCTCTTTCCAGTTTATAAAGTAGTTAACTATTTTTGCTGTGAGCAATAACTGGTCAATCAACAAGGGCTTCTTGAGTAAAAAAAAATCAAATTAAATTAAGTTAAATCTGAGAAAAATAATAAAAAATGCAAAGTCAAGCATATTTTAATTTTTTTCCCTAAGAACTTGTACTGAAGAATCTGTACCTTGTACCTAAGATGGTGCCGTAAGAGGCAATTTGGAAACTATTCACTGTACTCATTTGAGTATGTGACAATAAAACTAACTCAATATAACCTTTGTATAGTCACTTATACCCACTCCCAAAACCCTACCCACATATATCTATAAAGTTAGAGGGGAATGCTACTGTGTACAAAGGAAGGTAAAAGAATATGTAGTTTAGAGTCCCTTGGTTATCTTTGAGGCATGAGGGTTTTCACCTGAGTCCAATGAGGCCAGTGCAGATATGATGCCACTGGCCTCCTTCTGGTTTCTTGGATGCAGTTAGTTTTAGCAAGTGTTAGTTATTGAAAATTTTGGTTCTTTGGTGAATTTTCTCAATTATTTCTGAGTGAACAGAATGCCAACATCTGTAGAGACAGAAAATGAAGACAACTACCTGCCAAAGTGCTGTCAGAACCTCCCTTGAAATGTTAGTTCCGTTTTGTATTTCCAAAACGTTCTTTGAATGTATCTCCTTGTGACAGCCATTGTTTCAACATCCAATAATTTTCATGTTAATTGTTTCTTGAGACTATGATAGGTTTGCATCTATTGCAACCTATCTTGTCGCACTCTGGGGACAACCCATTCTTATAAAGATTTTTGATGGCTAGTTGTCAGGAATCCCCTCGTGTATTTTGATATTGATAGGTTTGGGGGGGGGCGGGGGCGTTGTAGTTTAGTCCTTTCCTTTTCATAATTTGATTTGAATTTAAATATTTGTTCTAGCAATCAGGGGAGGCAATTGCTTAGTGGTATTATCGCTGGACTGTCAATCCAGTGACCCAGATAACATTCTAGGGACCTGGATTTGGATCCCGCCATGGCAGGTGGTGGAATTTGAATTCAATAAAATACCTGGAATGAGGAATCTAATGACCATGAATCCATTGTGGATTGTCAGAAAAACCCACCTGGTTCACTAATGTCCATGAGGGAAGGAGGCTGTCATCCTTACCTGGTCTGGCCTACATGTGACTCCAGACCACAGCAACATGGTTTGCTCTTAACCATTCAATCTGCAGTCTTAGTTAATGGTGTCATCCCCATATATCCATTAGATAACGACATGTAATGATTCCCAGTGATCCATTATTTATAGCATTAGAAGATAAGTACGAATAAGGCAAGCCTATACATACAGAATTAAAATACAGTCTCCATTAGAGCAAACAACTGGTTCTTAACTGATTCAAGGGTTTTGCCAACATAGTATTATCTTCGTGTTCTGATTACTGAGTATTCATTATTATGTGTCATAAGAAAATGTTCCTGATATTATTCATAAATTTATTGTTTTGAACCTGAGGGCTCTTGTTCTGGAGGTAACTTTTGTATTTGGTTTATTATCTTATGGGTTTCTATAAATTCACCTTTCAGATGCTTCCTTTATGTCTAGGCTTCTTTTGTAACTCAGAGCTCTGATTCTAAGAATCTCTCATGATTCTTCTTTGCACTGCTTCCAACACTTAAGCCTCAACTTCCTGTGACCTTACACCTATTACTTAAGTTGCATAATCCACCAATGTATTGGTCTCGGTGATTATCACTCTGCATTGTTTGAATATATTCATTATCTATATATTGACAATTATTATCAATTGATCAACCAAGATGCTTTCAAATTTCATCTTAAACTATTTCAAAACTATTCATGACGTATGAGTGTTGTCCGTTGATCTTTCCTGAGCACAGTGCTTTGCAACAAATTTCATTTGCCATTTCCACCTGTTTATGTATTCGTCTGATTCAGAATTACATAAATTGTTGGAACAAAAGATTGATAATTTGGATCCTTTTATACTAAAGCTTGGATTCAAAAGCGTCCCAGTACTGAAATGGGAGTTAACTCAATTGATAAGTAGGTACTAAGTGAATAAAATTGTACACCCTTGACTGGAATCTTGCTGAATATGATCTACTAGCATAAAATTGTTAATTAAGTAATGCTAATATAGCAACTTGGTAATGAACTGCACAATAATGGCTGCTACAAGAAAGGAAATTGCTATATTGGTTCAGGAGAAGCAACTCTTTTGAGATTGGGGTGATGTATTGTGGTAGTGAAATAGGGTGGCTTCACTGTATGGTAGCTCTAATGCCTGAGAATTATACCACTTGGAGCTACAAGTGTGCATCTTACCACAATTGAGTCCCTTACCTTAATTAACCATATTCTCCCGAAATGAAAAATCATCCAAATTAACAGATACATATGGCTGCAAGATTTCTTCTCAAAGCAGGAAAACTTGTCTAAGGAAAATAACTGGCGGCCAGCTAGCACAATTTGTACACGTATTTATTTTATGAATGTGTAATTTAGCAATGTTTTTAATGGGTGCATTTCTGTTTAATACCAGAACAGCTGAGACAATTAACCGCACCTTTTTTAGCAGACTATCTTTATAAATAAATTATGCAGTCTTGTAGTAGTTTTGAAATAAATTTGCAATGTTGGTATGTAAAACTAGTATTTCTGTAAGGAGCAGGGTTTGATAGTACAGATACAGGGGTGGATTTTTTTAGGCCTGCCCAGAGCTTTTAGAGGGAAGAGCAAGGAAACTTAACTGACTGAGAAGCAAAAATTCAGTTTCCCCACAGCAGATTAAAACTTTCCTATTAAGTTTTCAGAACCTTTTTAGTTTGATGGACTTTCCTGACCTGGAACTTTTTTGCATGCTTTGAATACTTATTAACACTCTAATCCACTGGAATTATGTTCACGGGTGCAATTTTGTTAGGCAAAAATGAGAAACAGGCATGCTCCCAAACCCCTTTCTATACATGTATATGTGCAGACTGAAAATGTACAGAAGTTTGCCAAAAAGGAAACCAGTTACAGCCATGCTACTTAAACAAGAAACCTTAGCATAGAGACAGAGCTGAGCCTTCACTCTGTTACGAGTGTCTTTAAGGTTATTGTTAAGTAAGAAGGATGAAACTTTATTTCTGATACTCTAAAGCACAGATCTGCAATCAAAGCTGCGATTTGTTTAGACAATCTGGTTTGGTAAAGTCATACACCAGCCAGCATGTCTAACTACTCAGTGCATGGAGGATCTGGCAGAAGACTGCTTCACTGCAATCAGCATTTGCAGCACAGTAAATAGGTAAGACGTGATAAAACGTAACTTGTTTGTTATGTTTGTGTCTGGTCAGTGCAGTGTTGTGACATCACACTGCTAATTGAATACATTATGTTGCAGATGCTTCTCATTTCCTGCTGACTGCAATACAGATGACAGTTTCCATTCAGGTGCAAAAGCACAAAATAAAGCTATTAATCACATCAACACCACAAATAACATAAAACAAAAATAAGAATCTTCATATGCTGCTGTCACTGATAGAGTGGTGCAGATCAGGACAAGCAAAACAGGCACTGTCCACTATTTTGTGAAACTTGCCTACAGAAACTGTCAAATTGTTCTTCGGCCTCTTGGAGTTTCTGCATTGCAGCTTAATGCAAGTCCAAACGTGAAACAAAACTTTGACCAGTGACCATATTTATTTGTAAATCAAGTTAGCTTATTTTTCATAAGATGTGACAAAATAGTGACGCATTATCAATTTAAACAAATAAAACAATTTTACCAAAAATCAAGCAAGGGTAGATACTGAAAATAAGTTTTGAGAAGAAAGGTTAACTAATGCACAAGTTCACTGAGGGCACAGCTGCTATTTAATACATTCAGTTTTGGAGTAAATTCCATGGAACCTCTTCCAAAATGAACGCACATAGTCTTTTTTACATAGATATCAATAAATAATTTCACATAACTATGTTAGCAATCCATGTACACTATTTGAACTAGATTGTGTCTCTTTGGGTGCAAGTCAATATATAAAATTTCTCTTTTACATGGATGTGGGAAGTAGAATTGAAATTCTTCTGTATATTACACATATAACTGAATTACACATTCTATGAGGCATTCTAATCTCTCATTTTCACACGTTAGTTATTGCTTGGCAGGATTTTTATTTTACATATTTGTTACAAACTGTAATCCTTTGATAGTATTGGAAGAAGACTTCATGTGAAGAAGTTGGTAAATTATAAAGGAATTAGGTTTTTCTAGTTCCAAATATGCTTATTTCCATGGAGACACACCATATTGAAATAACAGAAGGAATAAACTATTCTTAGTTTAAGATGTATTTTGTCTGCCATGTTACATTTTGCACATCATCTTAGACCATGAAATCGCCTGTTCCATTATACAGAGTAAATAATTTAAAAATTATCATCATTATTGTTGACTTAAAACTTTACAATCAGAACGTAAGCAAAACTTGATGACTATTTGCTTCAATATTAGTATTAAATCAGTTATTTGAAATGATGTACAATTGTGGTTTTTATAAATCTACTTACAATTGTCCACCCTGAGTTTAAACTGTATCATTATGTAATGACCTTATGTTGTTCAATATTAAAATAAATAAAATAATTTCATTACACCATTTCAATACAAAAATGTCTCCATGCAATTCAAAAATGTTCTAAGTTTAGTCCAATTTTGCAATGACAGCTACATTGTGCAGGAGTCGGAGTGGGGAGATGAGGCTATGTTGCATTTTGCAGTGGCTCCGACCCTCCAATTTGTTTTGGTTATTGGCACAGGAAAAACTTACTCAGAGAGCTTGTTCTGTGATACACTGGTGTTGGAGAATAACATGCAGTGAGACAGCAATACTTAAAGTAATGCAGTTCACTGCAAAAGAAAAAGATGTCCTAGAACGTAAACTAATTGCTCACAATGGCACAAATGGAAAAATGTAGGCAACCCAACTCCTTTTGATTGAATAACTGAGAGACCCCGTTACATGAGCTACAACATAACATAAGGAATATAACACAATACAATACAACAGAAAAAAGAAATGTGGGAGTTTCTGGAACATGGTAAAAGTGAGTATTCTCCTCAATTTTGCATTGACTAGCTCGCATATGTAAATTGAGATGTAAAGCATTGTACATAATTTTTTTTTTACATTAACTTTTATTCTATACCTAAGCTTCACAAAGAATGTCTTGTGATGTGATGGTTAATGTCTCTGAGTCAGCACCTCCAGGTTAAGTCCCATTCCAGGTTAAGTCCCATTCCAGGCCAAGGAAGATGCGTATATAATGTGGCCAAATGGATTCTGTGTATCAACTTGTAAATTTTTCTAACATATGCCCATGGTAGGCAATAAGAGTGAAACGAATTATCGGCAGCCTCGTATCAAAAAGAAATTGGAGCCTCCAACACAACTATCTGTAGCTCTACACTTTTAGTGTTGTTGGTGGGATGTGGCATTGAAAATATGTCATTGTTTTGGACCATTTCTGTGTGTTCACTCACCTTCTTAGTGGTTTTGCATCCAGAGCTTCAGGTCTTTGACTAACATGATGACCTAATCCCACCACTCTGATAAGTTTGTGTGGTATCCTCTAGGACCCCTGTGGATAAGGGTCACCTCTCCCACTCTTTTTTCAACCAAGGCTTTCAACCAAGTGTCAGAACATTTTAAGAACTCTGCTGTAAAAATATGCCATTCTTGTGACGACCTCACATCGAAATCACTTTAAATGTTTATTCTAGCATGTACTTCAATCAAAATGCCTCTCCTCTTTATGAGGTGCAAGTTGGTTTGAAGCTGTGAGAGATTCTCGCAATTTTGCATGCCCTGCCTAGGTGCCCAGCTGCTCAACTATCTGCTTGGTGCATACTGCACACCACAATCATTTAAATAAACTGGAATTGGAGGCAATGACTGTGGATTGATTGTGTTTTGTGATTCCTGTCTTCAGAGGTTTATAGCCATAAAGTTTAATGTGGGATCCTCTTTGATTATATACAAATCTTAAAATGCAACATGACTATTTTATAGTATTGCCTCATAAACCCCTTTCAAATTGCCCATTGCAAAAATGTATCTAATACAATGGTGGACGGACAATTAACTTTCTGTTACAATGTTCTTTTTTATTTTTATAGAAATGCTTCCCTCAAAAAGTGATTTTACATGTCGGTCATCCTTGGGTGGTACATCTAGATTGATGAGCTAACTCCCCCAGATTGTTACAGAAAATGCTGGAGAAACTCAACATTCCTTCCATTGCTTCGGAGACTTCCAGTTCTGATGAAGAGTCATATTGGACTCAAAATATTAACTCTGTTTCTCTCTCCACAGATGCTTCCAATCATGCTGAATTCCTCTAGCACTTTCTGTTTTTATTTCAGATTTCCAGCATCTGCAGTAATTTTCCTTATTGTATCATTAAATAGTTGATCACTTTCTGTTTCTTGCTTACTCCACCCTGTCACTGTCTTATTACCTGACAATTCACGCTCATGTCTGCCCATAATAGGAATGCATTGGAAACAAACTCAATTCTGTATTCAGGGCAATCACGCAAAGGAATTCCCAACATTCCAAACTTAGCAGTGATTGTATCAAACATTTTAATTTACTTATTAATGTTGGGAACAATGTTGATCACACAAGTAGAACAGAATACTGTACACATTCCTTTGCTAAACATAGCCAATTACACTTCTCTAAAAAGCACTATATAATTAAGATTTTCTGATATTTTCATAACATAAAATTAAGTGATTTACAAAACTATAATATCATGGCTCATCTTAATTCATGTTTCTTAAATTAATTAAAATTAGAGGTTTGTCTGTACATTACCAGACTTCTCAGATTGTTTCATGTTACATTGCGTTGAGGCAACCAAAGATTTCAGAGCTGAGACATAGGACGGTCTGTGGAATGGTGCAGGCCATCTGGTACTCAATAAGCCAGCAGCTGGAACTTGTCTGCTGTCACCTGCAGCAGACATAAGGGGCTGCAGCTCCTGCTGCTGAATAGACTCCATGGTGTCCTCATCAGCGCTTCTTTCAGCAGCTGTACAAGCTTCAGGAAACTGGAAATGGATGGGATGTCGTGGCACTAACAGGGCAGCCGATGTTGTGTGTTCATCCAGCATAAAGTTCGAGGTCTTTGGCTGAAACACTGTGTCAGATACAGTTGGTGAAACCAGGCTGTCCGTACTATGCTTCCAAGCATACTGCAAATCAATTGGCACAATCTTGTTGGTTTCTGAAGACACACAGGCTGTAAGCTCACCCTGATCACCTTTCCAAGGAAGCTCTTTTTCAGCAGAAGTAGGAGATGGTGGGATAATGCTAGGGCTTTGAGGATATTCCAAATTACCTGTGGATATAAAATTTAATAAAATACATGCTGAGACACTAAAAATGGTTCTGATTGGCATTCTTAAAAAATGAATTTTTACTATAGAAATTTTTTGTCAAAATAAATAAAATGCCATTGATGGTAAAACCGGTAAAGATTTGTTGTAAAGGCATTAATAAGATGACAAGTAATAGTCTTAGAGTACAAGTCAACATGGAGAAAATAAATATTCAACAAGTAAGAGATTCCAGACAGATCAACACTGATATAAGATAATAGAAGAGAATAAAACAGTTGGGTTGTTAGCAATACTGAAGAGTTTCAGAAATGTGAGTAAGTTCAAAAAATATAAACTGAAAATTTTGTAATACATCGGCTACATTAATGGCAAAATAGCAGTGGATTTATTATGTACGTTGTCATTTTCGTGTAAACTGTTCTGCAATCCCTATAAGCTTATGTCCAATTTGTGCTGCTCCACTTGTTAGTCTCACAGAAAACAGCATCTTGACTCAGCTTGAGTTTGAAGCATATGCTTTGCGCATTTATTATCAAATTAACCCTTTTAATGTTAGGGTTTGTGTCACTACTGGGTAGTGCTCTGTATTCAATTCCCATTCCAGGACTTTGCAATCAGGGAAGAAGTGTTTATGACATGACTAAGCAGCTGAATAATCAATCTGCTGAACTTTGCAATATGCCCATTCTGGAGGGTAAGAAAAGACACTGCTGATTGGCCTTTATTGGCGACACTATACTTGCTAGCATGGCAACTTGCAGCAGAATTGCTCACGTTAAAGTGCTGAATGAACAGCTGAAATAGAAGAATACTGTTCAACCAATGCTGACCAGAAAGGAACACTGGAGTGTGGAGTCCATTCCTGTAGGGGGCAAATTGTTGTTAGTGGTTTTTAAAACATTTTGTTTTCACTTTTACACTTCCTTTCTCTTAATCTGTCTTTATTTCTCTTTCTTTTTAATATAATTTGACTGTACTTCAACTTATTTCCTTGTTTGTCATTCCTTTATTTCTTTCTCATGATTGTATCTAGTTGGTGAAAGAGGTAAGACCATTGGGCCTGCAATTCACTAGTACCTGGGAGGTCCCAGTTTTCAGTCATTTGCTTGTACCTTAAGAAATTTCCAAAACATTTCGCAAGTTGGAGGGTGAGCAAAATGCCTCAGCAAATTCTGGCCCATTGTTTGAACAAGCACTCACACCCTGAAGGAAGATTTACAATAAGATCTTGATGATGAGTCGAGGAAAATGAATAGCTTAAGATTGCAAGTGCAGATGTAGAATTGTTAAAACTGATTTCTCCTATCTGAAATTGCAATTGACAGCCTTCTTGTAGACCATGCACATAGTTTTGCTCTCCATAAGGAAATGTTTTCATGTCGTGAGAAACCAATTCGCAACATCTGCAATGGTGATATCATAAGTAACAAACAGGAAACTCTTGTTATTTTTTTCCAAATGCTGCCTCTCCCCCATCTTCTCAAGACTTCCACTGGCAGGCACACTTCTTGTGCAACTGCAGAGATGTTCCCTGGCAAATGTTGCTTTCTTATATTAAAAAATGGTGTATTTTATCTGTACATCTGGTTACCTCTTGAAAAAATTCAATCAAGTTGGTCAGACATGACCTGCCCTTAAGAAAACCAAACTGACTATTCTTGATTAATCCCTGCCTCTTCAAATGCAGATTAATTCTGTCCCTCAGAATTACTTCCAATAGTTTCCCCACCACTTGGGTTGGACTGACTGGCTTGTAGTTTCCTGGTTTATCCCTTGCTGTCTCTTTGAATAGGAGTACTACATTGGCTGTCCCCCAGTCCTCTGGCACCTTTTCTGCGGCCAGAGAGGAATTGAAAATTATTGCCAGCACCTCTACTACTTCTTCCTTTGCCTCAATTAACACTGTTCCCCAACCCTCTCCTACGGTACAGCAAATGACCCTGGAAAGATATTTATCCTGGTCCCAATCAGGTGTAAACTGCACAGCATGTGCAGATCCCACCTTCCCAAAAACTAGGCTAATGCCCCAGAATTCTGATGCCCATCCTATGACATCAGCTTCTCCTATTCCTATACTTGCTAGCACATGGGACTGGGAATAATGCTGAGGCTACTGCTTTAGAGTTCCTGCCTTTAAATCTCCTACCTATTTCCGTGAAATCTACTTTCAGGATCTTGTTCCCATGCCTTTCCAAGTCAGCGGCACTAGCATCGACCATAATCTCTGGCAGATCACTGTTTCCCAGATGAATGTCCCTTGGGCAAATCTTTTACCTTGGCACCAGGTAGCAATATACCATCCTGGAGTCAATTCAGCAGTCACAAAAAATGCTGTATGATCCCCTGACTATGGAATCCCACATCACTATTACTCACTTACTGTAGATTTGTTCATCTGTGATATATGGTGTGTTCATGACTTAACACATACTGTAGCATGTACACTCCACTTGGCTGAGCTGACCTGCCATCATGTAACTTTAAAAGCTACTTATTACAATTAGTATAGTAGAAAACACATGGATAGGGCCCAATTACTGGAGGCTGAGAAAGGTAGAAGAAAAGAAACCCTCCAAGGCCTCTAACTCACCAAATTCCCACTTTGTACTTGCAACAGCTTTTGAGGGAACCCTCTATTTAAGCTTTGTGAAAATAACTGACAAGCTTCAAAAACTGGATTAAACAAGCCACAAATTAATTAGTTATAGCTTCACTTAGAGCTTGTATACCTCTGCACTGGAACTTCTTTTAGCTTCAAATGTAATATCTTGTTGTTGCTACATTAAAGGAAAAACTAAACATTAGTTAACAATTACCCATTCAGTCTATTACACTCCTCAGCTCCCAGAATAGACAAGGCACCTCTGCTTCAATATAAACTGTTCTTTTAGTTTAACAAATTATAGAATCCCTACAGTGTGGAAACAGGCCCTTTGGCCCAACAAGTCTACACTGAACCTCAGAGCATCCCACCCAAACTACACATCCCTGAACACTACAGGCAATTTAACATGGCCAATCCACCTAACCTGTACATCTTTGGACTGTGGGAGGAAACCAGAACACCCAGAGGAAACCCATGCAGACACAGGGAGAATGTGCAGATTCCACACAGACAGTCACCTGAGGCTGGAATTGAACCTGGGTCCCTAGCACTGTCAGGCAGCAGTGCTAACCACTGTGCCACTGTGCCACACTGGAATTACTGGAAAATGAATGAGATTTGGATTTGTTTGCATGCATTAGACAGTCACTTCATCAAGAAGTTTGTGAACAGTCACACTATCCTGAAATTCCCTTCATCATAGAGGCTCCCTCTACCTCTATCTTTCTTTCCCGATTCACCGAGACAGAGGCTATCCTCAAATATTTTCTGAACCCCCTGCTCCAGCAGATCTCTTTGAACTGTTTCATTCTGCTTGCCTCAATTGAAGCTCATGTCTGATCATTCAGTCTATCCTGCAGGTGGGAATTCCTGTTCGAATGCAATACTGAGGATTCTTACCTGAAATCCCAGGACAATTAAGCAGATTTAGATCTGAGCAGTTTCTGTAACCAACAGCATCCAAATTAACCTAGGAAACCATCAAACGGTGACCAAAAGCTTTGAAAAAGCTTCTAACTCAAAAAGGAGCTCGTGAACCATGTTTTACAAGCACTATGACAATAGACTGGAAGACTCCAGATGGCAGCATAATGCATGCCTTGGCCAAACAGTGTGAGCACTAGCATTGGCAGTCAGGAGTCGGGACAAACCTACAACACATCAGAGACATTCTACTTCAATGCCAACTCAAAAGCAGTAGTGGTGTAAATACAGCAGGGTGAGAGGTCCTGGAAACTGAGGGCATCAATTTAGCCTGGGCTGCGTTAACTACATATTTGGGAGCTGGATTTCTCAGGAGCATCAGAGACCAAAGGCACTGAGACTACAGCAATCTGAGGACCAACAGAAGTTTCAACTTCTGGGAGGAATGCTTCCTTAGCACCCTCCAACCACCCAGCCCATACCACCCACATGGGAAGCAGACACATAGGAACACTTCCACCACCTGCAAGTTCCCCTTCAAGCCACACACCATCCTGACTTGGAAATGTATTGCTATTCCTTCAGTTTTGCTGAGTCACATTCCTGGTACTCCATTCCTGACAGCACTGTGGGTGTGCCAATAGCACGTTACCACAGTGTTTCAAGATCTCCGCTCATTTGCTCTGAAGGAAAATTAGGAATGGGCCATAACTGCTGGCCCAGCCAATGGTACCCAGATGTCTTGTGGACAGATGAGGTTAGCCATCAGACAGCACCTACAATTGGAAGCTCAGCTTCCTGCAAATGTTACAGCAGTAGTGTCAGTAAAAGGCTGTGTCTCTCAGGGAGGTGGTCACCGATACATGTGCCATGGTTGAGGTTGAACTGAGCCCAAAGGTAGGTAGTAGGCATCCAATGTCTGTGGCATGAGGCCATGCAAGAGTCAACTCACATGCACCATGGCATTCCACAGACAGGTTGCAATGCCTCTGCCAGGCAATGCTGCTGCCTAGCTACTGCCATGGCTGGGCATATCCTTTATACCAAACTCACATGGACGCCAAGTGACTTGTAAGGCTGTAAGACTTGTAAAGCTTAATCTGGTGAGCTCATCTTGGCTGAAAACATACAGGCATTCACCCTTTTGCCACACTGCTGCCGAGTTCCAGGTACCATCCCATCATTAATGTCCTCCTCTGCGAACACTGTCCATTTTTGCTGGAATCTACAAGGCCCATCTCCTCCTCCCATTTCTGGGGAAGCGGATCTTTTCCATCATCACCAAAGCAGCCTACAGGAATCACTGAAAATGGGGTCACCTGGAGTCTTCCCCTGGTCATTTCCTGTGCTGTTCTTCCTCAGGGCTTCATTGTAGGTAAAGGGATCGTCAGCATCTGGCAACCCTATAAGCATGTCAGCAGTATGGTCTTACCCTCCTCTGTTAACAAATGCACCCTTCATCTCTGCCTTTCTCTTCAGTCATACAGGCATTTTTACCCCATAAGCAACACTTCCTTCCTGGTTCATAGTGACATTTTCTGCATTTCTTTCCTTTCCCTCGTTCTCCTATGCATTGCCCATCCTTTCCCACCCTTCAATCCCAAGTTGATGCTGACACCTTTCACACACCCTCCCATAGTTCACCCTCTCTTTTCCAACTGGCACGATTCTTCGCCCTCAGTGCTGCTGCTCACATCTGACCTCAAAATTGTCACGAGAATCCCTGTTCACAGCAATATTTCATACCTCAGTAGGCTGAAGTGGAAATATTTTCACTGCCTCAAAGGTATTTGTCAATGAGTGCACTTGTAAATCCAGTTTCTTCTCCTACATTAAGATGATTGTATACAACAACAACACTTTAAAATTACAACTTCATACTGTACTTCAGTTATACGGCAACTGGTTTGTACTCAAAGGGGCGTAAGATGGCCTGCTGCAGGTGATATTCAGGTGCCAGACCTGGGCCCAAAGTCCAAAATATATCTCTGCGTTTTGGGCCAATATGCACCCAAAAATAGTTTGTATTAGTCCAAATGTGGGTGTGTAACTTTCGCCTCAGCCTATTATTAAATCTCGTTGTGTATTTAAAATGCAACTGTTTTAAAAAGCAGAATGAAAAACTGAATACATACTTCCCACCAACTGCTAACAAGTCTAGAAAAGTCTTCAGTTTGGTGAAACTAGCTTGTCGTGAAAATAACAATCTTTCTTTTGCAAATTTTACACCACTAGCAGGATATTCAAAGAATCCAAATACATAGCTTTCAGCTTAATCTGTTTTGAAGTTCAGGTTGTTTTTTTTTCATGCAATAGCCTGATTCAAAAAAAGTTGCAACCATTGGAAATTAAATAGTAAAATATTCTACTTTTTAAATGGATATTAGTATAGAGTGTAATTGAAATGTCTTAGAATGTATCATATTTTTGCTGCTCCACAAAAGATAGTTGAGGAAGAAAAGCAGAAGGAGCTCCAGATTGCAGAAAAGGAAGGAGGTGAAGATAGTTGAGCCTTAGCAGGGGAAAATAATTCATAATTGCATTATTTACTGTTGATCTGCTGACTGTTGCTCTTTTGATTCAGTGGACAATTGTGAATCTGTTGAATTAGTTCTTATCTTGTGAAGATGAACGAGGCTGGGTCGCACTTGTTGAGCACTCTGTGATAGGATGGGTTCATCATTCTGATATTTCCAAGGGGGTTCCTTCTTGAAAACCTCCGATTCATTGCCATCACTGGTGTGGCTAGTGACTGAAACAAGACTGAATTATCCTCAAAAGAGTTTCACAACGCCAGAAAAAAGAAGATGGACAGGCAAAATATGGGATTGCTTATTTCTCAATTTAAAATAAAACAAACATTGAAGATTAATTGCCAGTAGTGGTATAAGAGGTACAGAGCATTGAGCAACTTTTACTGCAGATTCAAATGGTTGGTAATTGTGTTGTTTCTGCTCTCAGTTGCAAAGGTAGAGGGAAAGATAGAATTCAAATACAAGGTTGGTATCACCTTTCACTAGGCCACTAGTGTGGGCCCACTATCCAATTTTGTTTAGACCTGGTTAATACAAGAATTGGAAACTTTTTAAAAAGTAATTTGCTGCTGCTTTCGGCTGTTGGAAAGTCTGGCTACTGCCAGCAGTATTTAGTTACCACCACTGGGAAAACAGAGCTTAATGAGGAAATGATCAAATATGAGGAACTTCTACTGTACTGTTTCTAAGTTGCGTTTACGGACCATGTGGTTCAACTTCAAACATGAAGATCATGGTATGGTAGGGGACAATTGACAATTCAAAAATTGAAAAAAACTTATATTTTTGAATGGAATTTAGGAGAAAGGGCAACTGGCACTTTTTACGTTTTTATGGTTATTCTGAAACAGATCTTGGTGAAGTTTTTTTTTCTGTTCACAAGGTGCAACAAAATCTTGTGTATTTATTTTGAATTACACGGTGCAATTAGAAATATCCCCTGTCCCCATTCTGGGGGGATATTGGAAAATCTTAAGCATGGCAACAAAATCCTTGCAGACATATGAACAGGACGTATGAATAGTGACTTCAACTTATTCTCTCTTAGCAAGCGTTTTCAGTTATTGATGTAGTAACCACATTATTTTTGGAGATGATCTGAATGCTTAGTATGGGCGCATAACATAAATCTCCCTAATCATTATTTTGGGCAAATTTGACTCTTTAATTCATTAGTAGCAGAAATCACACTTGCTAATAACGAGGTCTTTACATCACATTCCCACAAGGGATAAAAGAATTGTAGAGTAAGGGAAATTACAGGGTAAGTAACACGGAAAATAAAATAAAGGGAATGTGCTCCCATACTGCCCAAGCATGGAGTGCCATATTTTATGGCGGTGAATATGAATGCTATGGCTTTGACAGGTAGGACATGTTTAAATTGGGCACCCACTGTTAATCTAGGAACATGATTCAAAATTCACTATTTTTCCAGGGATCAGAAAGCCTGGCATTAAAAGGAATCAAGAGCTGTTGTCTTCATAGTAAATGCTAATTCCAGCATCTCTAGAGGCCATGCAGGGAAAGCTTGAGTAATCCCATTGGCTCCTCAAAGTTTCCTTTGAGCTTAACCTCTTTCTTCCCTCATCTGCCACATTTGCCAACCTGCTCACCACCCTCGTGGCAGTCCACATTGGTGAGCTCCCCCTTTCTGTTTGTTTTGGCAGGAGCTTTGCCATCCCAATCTTTGCTGAATATTTCAGCCATTTACAGCTTCCCTGATACTTTCTCTGATTCCTGATAATGATCTGGACTGAAAGGTCCAATTTGCTTTGCAAATCCATTTTGTACCTGAAATTTTCCTTTCTTGTAAATTGTCATTCACTGTTCTTGCCATAAAAGTGATGCCCTCGTCATCCTCCTGTTCTTTCATCTTCATAGATTTATCCTTTTCTTCATCTTCCGAGTCAACTTCTACAAAAACTGGCACTAGGAGCAATGGAAAGAAAGTTTTAGCAGCTCCAGTGGTCTGTATTTTAGTGTTAAATAAGGAAGAATCTAAAATCCATTCATTCACGTGCACACAAGCTGATTGAGGATGACAGGACTTCAGGTAAACTTTACAAACAGTGGACCTTAACTACCACATGTTTCAGTAAAACATTACCTCAGCTCTGTGCTACTGCTCAGTCTCATGTCTGGTTAAGTGGGTAAATGTATCAGCTGTGCTAGAGTTAAGCCATAGGATTGGGAAGATGCTAGATGTGGCATGTTGGCTCAAACCTTCCGATTAAAGCAACAGCAATTGCATCCATCACTGATCAGTCAGAGAATTGTGCACTTTCCCAGTTATGTTTAAATTTCTGATGCAGACAAGTCCCTCAGCACAGAAATCCATACAGACACCTGCGAGGAGAATCAGTGCAGAAGAAGAGGATTCCTTATTTAACAACACTAGCTAGCTGCCTTGTGGTAAGTTTAAATAACTAGTGTGAATATCAGTGAGTAGGCAGCTGATGTGAATGAGTCGATTAACAGACAGTTGAGGTGGGTAGGGTGGGTAAGGTGGAGTGAGTGAGAAGCTAGGTGGTATTCAGGCCTGATTGGGAGGGGGATCCAGGGTAGGAGTTGGTCAGATCATGGCACGGTTGGGCTAGTCAGGTGATAGAGGTTGGTCAGATTGGATGGGGAGGGGTAGTTGTTGGGGGTGGGTCAAGAGTTTGTCAACAAGACAATGTGGGGGATCAGTTATGTAGTTGCCCAGGAATTAGAGTAGGATTTTTCTGTCTAACATTTCCTGGGTAGCTATGTAGGTGAACAATGCAGAATTACTGAAATCTTCAAGTAACTCAGAATCGGAGCACCCTCTGGATTAGGAGACTTGCCCATCAGAAGTTCAGACCTCTTGCTCAATATTCATAGAGATTAGCATGTTGGGACTTTCACCGGTTCTAATGTGTATCTTTGGTCGTACATCTCAACACTGACAATCTGAAGATTGGAAGATTATCAAATTATCTCAGCGAGGTTTGGTGAGAGGAATTGGCTTCAGCACTAGTGAGCTACAAAGAAAGAACCAGGCAAAGGATTTCAGCCCTGACTGTGATACTGAAGCCCAGGCTAGAAAATGAATTAGTGCAGATAGCAAATGAGGTAAGAATCAAATTAATCACTGATGCTCTTCGAGTTCAGTTAGAAGTTGCTATCTGTAGTAAGACATCAAGAATATCTTCTTAGTCAGCTATTGAAATTGTAACCCTGTGCTTTTCTGTGCCTATTAGAAAGGAAGAGTTTTGGAAGAAAGAATAACATTCCTTCCTTTGGCCGATTTGAAGATGAAAGGAGAACTTGCAAATTGTAGCAATACTATATGCATTTGCTTCAACCAGTTCTGATTCTTATTTTTGTGTTTATTGAACCCATTTTCCTCTCATTTCTGGATCAACTCTGCTCTTTTTACAGAACTTTTTATTCACTTGCTGTGTCCTCAGGCCATGTCTACTGAAGCCTTCCAGAACACAGTCTAGTCTCTTTCCTTAATGCTACCTGCAGCTCTCTTCTTTGTATTAATTTATCTTATACTAGAGGAATTTAGAACTCCATATGTCAAAACTGTGTTTTTTACTGATAATCAACACGTTTTGAATTGAATACCGCAACAAAATTGAAGAGGTCATACTCGAGAATCTTCATTCTATCATCTGCTAACATCACTCTGTGCAACTTGAGATATTTTTTACCATCTCTATGCCCGAGGAAAGCTGCCACATAAGCAACAGTTTGGGTGATTGGCATTTATTTCACCATATCCTCCAGCAAGCTTAATCAACAATTGAATAGTTGTCACTGCAAATCCAAGTTGTCAAACTATCATAGGTTTTATAAATGAAATATAGAAGTGTTGCCTACTGGCAATAAATTTGTTCCCAGTAACCTTTTTCTGACAGGTGAATAAGTTTAGTTATATCCTGTCACTGCAATCCAAAATCAAAGTGAAATACAGTGTGACATGTTGAATATGCCAAAATAGAGAGCATGGATTAAAACCAGGAAAAGGCAAATTCAGTACTGTTAGGAGTTTATTCCACAGAGAGTGAACAACACTCTGTGGAATGAATAAGTAGTGGCAAAGTCTCTGCTGTTACTTAATGAACAACTTGATTGAACAGTGGATGGATTGTATGATCCTTCTTGATGAATCAACTAATAAGGAAACATTCCTCATCTAAACTGTATTTAAAATGTGATATGAAAAGGTAAAAATAGCACTATTAAAACTAGCTTTACTTTTCCAACATCTTTGCATTAATTTTGTCCGAAAGTAGACAATCAAGACTTAAGGAGCAAGCTCCTGTTCCTTCTGCAGCTGGGTGCTGGTCAGGTGACCCACAGCTGAGAAAACTGCACCACCAGCAATGGCTGACACTTTGAGATCCCTTCTGGATATAACAGCCAAAGGATTACCTCCCATTGTCCCTGAAAAAGAGGGACCTATCATTTTGTGGCCTTCAAGGTTCTTCTGCCTGCCTCCCTCTGATATTCCAAATAGAGAGAGAGAGAGAGAGACTCTGGATGCCTGGCCCACAGCTATCTTCTCCCAAATAGCCCTCAAGATTGGTGACTTTCTACTGCTAAGGGAAACAATGAAGCAGGAGGGCAGATGATGCCTCCTATTACTTGTGCTGGTGTGTATAGCTGTAAATTCTCAGACTCCCCCTCACCCTGCCACAGAAACCTGAAAATGTGGTTATAGTTTTCAATGTCTCCCTCCTCTCCTTTCTGCTTAGGTCCAATGCAGGGGAGAGGAAGACTGCTCTCATGATGTTTTTAGATTGTGAAGAAAACAATAGTCTATCTCTTCAAATATAGCTGGAGATTGCATCTAAATTCTTCCCCCTACAATATAATGAGTATATAAAACTGTGTGAACCAACCAAGTTGATTAATTCTTTTAAATATAACCAAACTAATATTTAGTATTTAGCTAGGAAGATGATAAACATTGTAAATGTATACATAGAGACATTATTAAATGTTGTAAAAATAATGTCATGGAAATTCATTAACAGGGGTTAGATATTCTGAAGTTACGCATGTTCACCTCTGAGAAGGGCAGGAAGAAACTTTGCAGAAGATTCCTCAGAAGACTGAATTAAGTTGCAAAACAGAAAACCATACATTATCATGCATTGGAAATGTATTATTCTTCCTTCATCGTTACTGGGTCACATTCCTGGAACTCCCTCCGTAATAGTACTTTGGGTATATTTACACATCACTGATGGCAGCTGAACACTTCTCAAGGGCAATTAGTGATAGGCAATAAATGCTGGCCTAGCCAGCAATGCGCTCATCTTTTATATGATTTTTCTTAAAATCTACAACATTCATTTATGTGCACCAATTCATACCACTGAAATGTCTAAATCTGTGCCTTTGGAATACATGGAAAACTCTACTTGTTTGCAAGAAGGATAAGGGGTAAGGTAGATGACAGTGCGTAAGTCAACCTTTGATATATTCTAAAAATGTTCCAATTTGGAACGACTTACATTTCACATTTTGAAATGTGAAAAGCACTGGTAATTCATGATAAATTAATGTGACATGGTTTACTGCATAAATAAATTATGAAAATACACCTTTAGCCACAAGGAAAGCATTTTAAAAATTCCTCAGAACGGAGGAAGGGTCATCAGACCCAAAACGTTAAAATGTGTCAATTTCATTGTCCTTAAAATCTGATGCAATCAGTCCATTGAATTACCTCAGAGCTGCTTTGGCATTGACACCATTGTAAAGAATCATTCTGGGTCATATTTGATGCTACTGGTTTCAAAATAATCCTTCCGTAATAAAACATCTTCTTCTCCATCCACTGAACTCGATAATCTGCATCTTTGAATGATCCGATTGATGCCAGTTTGTGCGCTAAAATTACCCCATGATTTGGTGATGAAATCACACATAACAGCAAGTGAGACAACACATATTTTAGCACCCTTAGAGAAGATTTTTTTCTCTGTTAGACATCCACTTATTCCATTCAGCGTGAACACAACAGTTGAATGGCTGGTTAAAGTACATATCCAACAGCAGACAATAGAACTTCTTAGACAACTAATGTGTGGGTATTATTTCTTCCCAGGTCTCAATGGTTATGTGGGATCCTAAAATATTTCAGATTAATAAGTTTCAATTTTACACAGGTCGCCAGGATGTCTATTCCACACATTATAGATTCATAATTTCACTCCATCCTTATCAATCCAACCTTTGTTGTGGATGTATTGAAAATCTCTTCCAGAGACCTTGATTTTCAGCTTGGTTTTACATTTGAAAATTAAAATAGGCTTCATTTTCAGTCTGTCAGCCAAACAGGCTAATGCCAGCATAAATTCTGTCTTGTTCTGTCCTATGATTTCCACTAGAACTGTGTTGAACCTTTCCATCCACAGCTTAGCTGCTGGGCATATTGAACTCATGGAGATTTTATACATGTTGCCAACGTGACACAATGAGTACTCCTCTTTTTCCAACAGTCTGATGATGAATTGCTGGAAACTAGTAATTTTGGTCTTTTGATAGTCTCTAAGGAATCTTGGTTTCCTGTGGCAATTCAGTTTTCATTCCTTTAAGCAACCATAGCACCTAACTATCGGTCTGAAATGTCAGAGTTTAATATGGCCCATATAAGCAGAATTAGTGATTTGTATTTCTGGTGATATTGAAGCAATTATTACAACTTTTGTGTACACATTCTGATATATACTTCCTAAGATCAGGCTCATAGTTGGCTCTGGTCTCATGACTCATTTGACCTTCAGCATCTATCAGGGCTAGTTCTTCTTCAATTCTTGTACCAGATTTTCATTAGCACTGAATTTCCGCATTGCAGTGCAATTATTTGACAAGTGAGCAAATGTTAGGAATTTTAGCTTGAAATCAGCTTCAGACTTCATTTGCTTCATTGGAAATTTCATTTTTTTCTCATCATTTGCCATGCCAATTCTGCTCGGTATTGTGTGTCTTTGCAGCCTATACTGCCTGCCTGATTCCTTATGCCCAGTTATAAGGTACTGTGTGTAAAAGTTGCATTTGTGTTGTGCAAAACACAACCTGACTATTAATGCATGTTATGACTATTAATGACTATAGCATGTTGTGGCTGAAAGAGAGTATCTACTTATATGGTGAGTATATCCAGAAATGTGAAACTTGCAACCAGAAAAAGTAGGTAAATGAAGCCAATGTACATGCCAGTTACTGTCAAATATAACCTTCATTGATTGTTGCCTGTGACCCTTTCACATTTACAAAACTGAAGGCAAGAATAACAATCACATACATAAATGTAAGTGACACTTGTGCAGCCGTCCTATTAGTGTCCCTGACATTACCTTAGTCATTTGCTTCAGATTTGAGACAATTTAGCTCTAGGTGAAGAAAACAGTATTTTTAGATTGTTGGATAATGTTATAAAGTATCTCTATATCTCTAACAATTGGAATACTATAAAAAAACACAATTTGCTAAGCATAAATGACTTGTAAATTGGAAATTAAGATATCTTACTGCATATTCTCCTGTTAACAATAAAGGGAAGGCATTGTCTGTACAGGTGAAGATATGAAAAAGAAGCATCAATCTTCCTGACTGGGAGAATAGTCAATTTAAACTCATAAATCTTTCAGAAGATAAGTTTTAGCAGCTCTTCAGGCTTTTAAACATTGCAAACTAAAGACAGGTAATCATTGAGTTTCAAGAAACTTCAAATGTGAAATCATAGGTTCAATCTCAACATTTCCCAGAGAACAAAAGGCTCACAATGTGGCCTCCTGTACGTTGGGGAGGCGAAACACAGATTGGGTGACTGCTTTGCAGGACACCTACATTCTGTCTACAAAAATGACCCAGTGCTTCCTGTTGCCTGCCACTTCAACACACCACTGTGTTCACTGGGCAACATCTCTGTCTCAGGCTTGCTACAGTGATCTAGTGAAGCTCAGTGCAAGCTGGAAATACAGCACCTCATTTTCCGCTTGGGGATCCTACAGCCTTCAGGACTCAATACAATCATTTTAGGACCTTAGCACCTTCTCCAGTGTCTCTACCCCAAACCCCACTTACAAGGCCATCTCATATACACATGGGCTGCTACCACAACAACCATCAATGCCAACCATTAATGGTCCCCATTAACAGTTACTGATTCTCCCACGCTGATATTTACCCATTCCTTTGTGGACCCAATTATTGTACTCTCTCTCTCTGGGTTCCATCTCCACTTATTGTGTACTCCACCTGTCCCCCTTCAGCCATCTTCAGCATATATATCCAACCTTTTCCTAGCTACAACGAGCTCTGAAGAAGGGTCACTGGACCTGAAATGTTAGCTCTGCTTTGTCTCCACAGATGCTGCCAGACCTACTGTTTTTACAGCAATTTCTGTTTCTGTTTCAGGTTAATGTGGAGTTCAACTATCTGCTAGGTTTTCTGTTATCCTCTGGATACAGTAGACTTGACTAAATCCAACTAATCTTCCATAATATATCTAAAAGGCTGCTACTAGAGAGATAGTCCTGGGCTTCTCTCCATAAAATCTTTTCTAAATGGCACGTTGGAATAAATATTTTAAGTTGAGCATATTTTTCCATGGGAAAAAGCCCTAAAACATTCTCTCTATTGGCTCCTAACTGCAGCAGTATGAGTGGATGTATTGAACTATATCGGCCATCTGCCAATGTATCTGCTCCAGCTATATAAAGCGAATGAATGAAGCACTGATCTCAGGGCGAGCAGTTTACGAAAAATGCTCCAATGTGCAATATCTTTAGGAAATGCAGGAAATTGCACAGGAAAGACTGTGAGAAAGGAAAGATTGTATTTTAAACTTGTAATAGAATGAGATCAATTACACACCTACCTGTGTCATGCCAGCTGACATTTCGCAGTAATTTATCATTAGGTACTTGACCATTTGTACCTTCAACATTTCTCTGTTAGAAATCACATAAAATTCTGCATTAGTTCAGCATTAAGGAGGAAAACAGCCACACCACAACAAATTTTGCTAACAAAATAATTGGGTGGAATTTTTCAAAATTGGAGGTGGCAAAGAAGCTTAATTATATGGGATGGTGAGGGATTAGAGTTTGCCACCTTCCCCCTTCCACTCTGTGGGTGGGAAGGCAGAAGCTCCACTTGCCTGCCCAGTCACCTATTGAAGTTCTTAGGTGGTCAGTTAAAGACCACACAAGGGCCACGGCCACTTCCTGTCTGGGCTGCAGTTACTTCAACTTCAGATGGGATGTAATGAATTGAGCCCAACTGACTGTTAAACCAATGCAGGCAGGGTATGTGTGTGTGTGTTTGTTTATGTGAGTTTATTTATGAATGAGAGTTTGTGTGAGTATGTGTTTGTTAATGTGAATGTGAGTTTATTTATGTTTGTGTGCGAGTGCGTTTGTGTGTGTGTGAGTTTGTGTGAGCATGAGTGTTAATGTGAGAGTGTGTTTGTGTGTGTCTGTTTGCGTCTGTGTAAGTGTGTGTGCATGTGTTCATGTGTGTGAGAGAGTTTGTGTGAGCATGAGTGTTTGTTTATGAACGTGCATGCGTTTATGTATGTGAGAGAGTTTGTGTCAGAGTGTGTGTGGATGTGTGAGTGTGTTGTGTGAGTGTGTTATGTGTGTGTGTATGTGAGGGAGAGAGAGAGAGAGAGCATGTGTTAGCCTGTTCCCTGGCTTGCTCCTCCACCTCAGGGTCTGTACTGACAGCTGCCCTGTCCTCTGTAGTGCTATCGAGTGCCAGAGCAGTATTGGGAAGATAGCACTCAGAAACCAAGAGCAGAGTCTATTCATTTCTTTAAACCAGCATCCATGCTTGCTAGTCTGTTCTTATAAGAAACGGATTTCAAAGTGATGTTTCATTACTTAGAGTGAAACATGGTTACATGAAGTGAATTTAAGGGGTAACAGGGGAGGGGCAGGGTGGCTGGATTAATAGGGTACTGCAGGAAGCCCTTATTGAACCTATATCCTTTCTAAGTGCCTCCAGTACAGAGTCATCACAGTCTTTAAGAACACACCACTCACAAAACTGAAGAACACCTGACTTATATCAGACACAAAATTCAGAAGACAGACTGAATGCAAAGCATTACAATTCAAAACCAAAGGAGACAATTGCCCAAATCTTAACTAACTCCACGAGAAATAAAACCTTAGCACACTTTTGACTGAATTAACACATTGGAAAACTGACAAGGTTGTGTGCAACGCTGGTTTTCTATCCTCACAATTTCACCCTCCATTAAAGTCATAGTCATAGAGCCATACAGCACAGAAACAGACCTTTCAGTCAAACAAGTCCATGCTGACCATGTTCCCAAACTAAACTAGCCCCAGCTTGCCTGCGCTTGGCCTGTATCCAGACCTTTCCTATTAATGTACCTATCCAAATGTCTTTTAAATGTTATAATCATTCCTGCATCCATCACTTCCTTTGGCAGTTCATTCCACACACGAACCATTCTCTGTGTAAAAAAAGTTGCCCCTCATGTCCTTTTTAAATCTTTGTCCTTTCACCTTAAAAATATGCCCTCTAGTTTTGAACACCCATCTTAGGGAAAAGACCCTTGTCATTCACCTCATCTATGCCCTTCATGATTTTATACACCTCTATACGGTCACCCCTCAATCTCCTACACTCTGATGTAAAAAGTCCCAGCCTTTCCAGTCTATTTTTATATCTCAAAGCCTCCATTCCCAGCAACATCCTGGTAAATCTTTTCTGAACGCTTTCCAAATTAATAATATCCTTCCTATAACAGAGCAATCAGATATCTTGACAAAGTTGATCTCAGTTTATAGAATTAAGTCATTTTCTCTCAGCTCCAGCCTGATCTATTGTGCAGTTCCAGTATTTCCTGTTTTCTGCCCCTACTTTCACAGCCTCAGCTCAGAGACCTTGACTAAAAGTAGACAGAATGAAAATGTTAACTAATTCCTGTGAGTTTATCCTCACTGCCAAAAGTATCTAGTGGCTGCTTTGATCATGCAAACAAGGTTTGCCAGTTGAGATCATTCTTGCGATCATAAGAAAAATTCATTCAATCAAAACAATATGCATTCAAACACAACTGATCAGACTTTTGTAGACTGCAGGTTAAAGTTGGAATCATTAATTTTTGCTGTTGCTGGTACACCGCTGGAGTAGGAATATGGCTTACTTGATAAATGTCATTGAAGGACATGATTTAGTCAGTGCTGATTTTCATGTGACATCTCAAGATAGAGACTTTCATTAAATAGTTCAGAAAAAAACTGCATGAGCAAATTATCCTGTATTAAACTGAACCATTGCGAAATGCATTATAAAAGGGGTTACGTGTCTTTTATATTCTTCAAGATGGAGCATTCCACTGTTATGCATGTTTCAGCTTATCACTCATTAAAATGAAAGAAAATATGCTCGAAGGGAGGGAAAATTACATAGTAAACCTTACTTTAATTTCTTTTCATGTAGATTATTTTTCCTGTAGCAACAACTGTGGAGAACATTTTCTTTCCCTGAGAAAGTTTCAGGGTTTTAAAATGTAATCCCAGGTATGTACAATTGAATGGGAACTTACCCTTTTCTGACACTTGTGCTCTTTCTTGTGTCTGCATTTATTCTTTGAAGAATATACATTATGTTTAGTGGATTTAAATGATTCAAGGCGACTTCTCATGTTTCGCTGGAAAACCTCCCTTTCTTGCCTTTCTTGTTCACCTTGAGCAATGAAGTGCCGGCTATAATTTCCCTGATACTGGAAAATCATGGAGCCATTATTAATGATAATAAAAACAACAAGCACACATTGATAGAAAGTTATTAACTGTCAAAGTGTATTAATAGTACAGAATCTCATTCTTTACTATCTATTAATTGATTTAGCATGTGTGATTTCTTATTAGATCCTGGATTCATATGATTCATATTTGCTTTGCTCTTTAAGTCTAAGCTTGAAAAAAAAGTGTGCTGATGTATGCTATGGCCATCCACATGACTGTCTAGCCCAAGATTCCCAAAAGTTTGTTCTCAGTCCCAATTCATGGAGTAACTGAGGGAAGGAGGAAGTATTTCCCCATTGTTGGGAGAAGGGAATCCTGATGGAATGGTCAGTTTTCTGGCCTTTTCTAAAGGGGTTGGTAAGCCTCAGCAGCAGTCTGTCAGTTAGAAGTGAATGGACAACAGTAAAAGGGGTAAGAAATTCAAACCAAAATCATTTACAGATCTGACAGCCTCATTATCTGCAGAGTATAGACTTTCTGTCTTAAGTTCAATCAATTCTCTGCAATGCCTTTGAATTAATACATGTGCAAACATGTACTGAGTTGCAGCAGGCTGGATTTTACCCCTCTAAGGAAGGATCGGAGGTGTTGGGGACCTGTAAAATGGCAATTAATTGATATTTAAGGCTGGAATGTTGCCAGCACCAGGATAGATGGAGGACAGCCAAGTGAGCAATTTATCTGGTCTTCTAAGGCCTCTTTCTGCTACTATAGACATTTTATTAGCAGTGGGTGGATCCCTTGGAGACGGCCTAGTGAACACTAGTCACCTCCCTGTGCGCTGTGAGGGATAGGCCCTCTGAATCAGGCACTCTGTGTCCCATGAAGCAGCAATGGCCACCCCCTGCTCTCACTTCCCTAACTGACACCAGGCAACACCAAATCTTAGTTTTCAGTTGCAAAGACGGCCTGGTCCCAGGGTGTCCTCTCTCCTAACTGGAGTCCCAGGAGTGACCACTGCCCCCAGCAGTGCTGCAGAGCTTCTGGCCCTCCAATTGGTTCATAGCCCATAGGGGCTGGCATCTGGCCTTTGAAGGGATCAGGGTCCCCACTGATTACTCAATATTTGCCCCATAACAAAAGGTGTAACTAGGGACCCCAGAAATATCTGTGGCAGGACTACCCCAGGCTGTAGTACTGAGGTCTCTGCCGCATCAATAAAATTCTGGCCACATGTGCTTCAATGCACAATGGAAAAACAATTCTCTCATAATCCATGCTAAGCAGGACCTAAGCAGGAAATATAAGCAGTCATGTTATTAGTTCTTTCTTCAGTCTTGGGACAAAGAGGCCAACTATGATACCCTCATCATCCTCCAGTGACATCAGTTCACAGACTACAGATCAAACCCAAAATATTTCTGTTCTATATAGTTTATCACCACTACATTTATTAATCCAGGCACTGAGTGACCTATGTCCCACTGCTATTTCTTACAATCTATATATGGGTGATAGGAGTTCTTACCCTTCTCCTTGGCTTGTACAGGTTCTCTCTTAAGACATGGTGCATCACTGTGTCTTCCCGATCTCTGCCACTCCTCACAGTGTCAATCACTTGTAAATCTAGACACACGGCACTTCCACTCTCCCTCCTGACATACATACACAAGGAACAGTCACAATTATACAATTCAATGTCTTTAATTTTAATTAGCACAGCTGCTAATACAACACTGTATCAGTCAATTGGCCACAGCTCTGATGGATAATGATCGATTTACTGCCAGGCAGTGGACATCAGTCAAAACAGAGGAGCCTATGACCTGCTCAAACACGCTCCCGGAGGGAGATATCAGGGATTCTGCAGGGTTCCTATGTGCAACTGCCATCAGAAAATCCTGGCCCATATTTCTGAGATCCAAGCAATTTACTAACACATCGTAAAGTAATTTAAGCAAACTCCAAAAATTGGCTTGCTGCTTTAAATCAATACAAAACTAAAATCTACAAATAGAACAAAATATCTAAGGGACATTAAGACACAAAAAACTTTGGGCAGAATTTTCCCATTTTTATGTCTGTGTTATTTCTGGGGAGGAAATCAGGAAGGGTTTCCCACCACATCCCATGGAGATGCTTCCCGCACAATCTTCTGCTACTCACTTTATTAATTCTGTGCTTGGACTCTATGCACCTTTCACGTTCAATTGTACCATAGCAGAGGGGCAAGTGCTCACTGTGGTTGGGACCTACTGCATGGATGCCACAGTTACCACAGTTAAACCCAAGCTGCACACCACTCCAGGAACAGCCATTCCAAGAGTGTTGTTACTCTGCATTTCAAAAGGAGAAGGCTCAGAAATAGCAGCAAGTCGCCATCCCCCCTTCCCCCACCATGGGATGGTGGATGGGAGGATGGTCCTCTTCCCCCAGGATCAATGCTGGAGGACACCAAAGCCTGGCAGCCTGGTCAGAGATAGACACCCAGGTCAAGGCAGTGTCCACATTCTGGGGGAATCACAGCAATGCCACATGATGGTGTTCCGCAAGAATATGTGTCATCCTCTGCTACCTTATACTCACTGCAAATCTGCCAGGAACACACCCCCTTTGCAAGGCTAGTGGTCCTCTTAATGAGTTCAGCAACATTATAACACGATGCTCTCAATGAGACACGTAGACATTTCATAGCGCCCTACACCTAGGAAGAACCAGCATAGTTGGAAATCCCACTGCCTGGGTTCTAGCATTGACCTCACCATGGGGAAAAGTGATGGAATCAGTAGGATTTTGCAAAAATTGAATTTGTAACACCCTTGGTATATTTCTGGGTTGAGAATTTTAAGATCCTACACAGCTCTCCAGTAGATCCTTGGAACCAGCCAACTGCATCAAAATTACGTGTCATTGTTACCCTAACAGCCTCTGGGATGGGATGGACACCGACTTCTTCAGAGTGAAAGCCCTGGTTCAGGAGATGACACAGTTTGGTTACAGTGTCTTGGGACATCCTCAGGATGCACCTGTACTGATCCTTGCTCATTCGGAGGAATGGACAGTGAGGTCAGTCCACTCTAGGCCTCGAGACTTCCTCTGTGTCTGGGGGTTCTTCACCTATGTCTTCCCATCACCCGCAAGAGCAGCCCCCACATACAAAACAAAGCAAACTTGCTCTGCCCACTGAGAGTATGGTGGTAGCCATCTTGTGCTGTTGAGATTTGATGGAACAATGGAACAGTATCCAAGTCATGATCCTGAGAGTGAGTTCCAGGCTATGCCGGAAAGTCTTGAATCCAACTCCACCCTTCAGGTTCCCTTTTGTGTTATTTTTCCGGTCAATCCCCTCAGCTTTGCGGCTCACAACTTTCCAACCCAACCCTTTTACTTGGCAATCAATATCCCCTACTTCCTCCTCAGCTCCTGGCCTACTACATAGTCATGCCCACTATTGCAATCCACTGTCCCCCAGTTGAAGCCAGGGTGATCGTGACTTGAGAAAACCCTCCTCCTACGGTACCCCCTTCCCTCCCATACACTATTAGATCCATCTCTTATATTTGCCCCTCTTCACAGGCATTGTTCCTTACTCTGTACCAACACAATGACTCCAAACCAAACACTTGAGTTTCCCACTTCCCCCAGGGGACCAACCCCTGTTAACCCCACTCTTAACATCTACTGCCCAAACCCTCAAAAATGACCATGGTCCATCCCCTGGACTGATGTTCCTACAGCTCCCCAAATGTCTTACCTGTATCCCCAAATTGATCAGACATGATCTCTGTGACTGACAATGGCCCAATCCCCAGATCGTCAGACCCCAAAGGTACTAAACATAAGACTGATCATGGCCAAGCCCCTGGACTGAGATTGAACAATGTTTTACTGAGTGTGGTGGCACCCCTTAGTCATCATAGACACCTTCACTCAAATAAGGACCACCTCCCTTTGATCAACATCCTGGAATTCCATCCCTAAGAGCATTGTGGGTCTACCTGCAGCACATGGACTGCAGCGGTTCAAGAAGGCAGCTCACCACCACCTTCTCAGCCAGCAAAACCCACAAGCAAATAAAAAATGTCTTTCAAACATGGCCATTTGGTTGAAGCCCATACATCGTGTTCGCTATATTGACTACTGGCATGTGCTGTAGGTGTGACACTGATGTAGCATGGTGCCATACAGAAACATGTCCACCCTCTTGACTGATCAGTGCTGGTAAGCATTGCATGCAGGTAAGGCATTGGTGAGCTCCACAGTGCATTGGTGAAGCGCTGAAGTGTTTTCATCATCAAGCAGTATGATGGTGCGGTTGGTAATTTGACGATGCTGACCTCTGGGTACAGAGGGTGGAGGTGGTCTCTGCCCATGGAGTGTTCCCTGAGATATTGCGGTATAATAATTAACATCGGAGGCTCAATGGAAGTGACAGTGGGCTGCAGTTGCCAGTTAACCATTCAGACTTTCAAGTCGGGAATTGGTGCCATCTCGTTTCTCGCTGGTAACTAGGAGAATAACAACCTGCGTAGAAATGAGGTGAGATTAGCTAGTAATGAAATGCAAATGTGTGGCAATGGGTTCCTTTGCCACTTACCAGTGAGATTCTCAACTAACCATTGAAACATTAAGGGAAAAACAGACTTTTCTCCTTGGAGATAGTAGGATCTGCCGATGCTGGAGTCTGAGATAACAAGGTGTGGAGCTGGATGAATACAGCAGGCCAAGCAGCATCAGAGGAGCAGGAAGGCTGACGTTTAGGGTCTGGACCCTTTTTCAGAAATGGGGAAGGGGAAGGGGGCTCTGAAGTAAATAGAGAGAGGGGGAGGCGGTGATAGAAGGTGGATAGTGGAGCAGATAGGTGGAGAGAAGACGGCCAGGTCAAGGAGGCGGGGATGAA